CCACTGAACAAGACACACAAGCTGAAACGTCAAGACTGGGCCAAGAAATATCTCAAGACTGATTTTTCTAAGGTTTTATGGACTGATGAAATGAGAGTGAGTCTTGATGGGCCAGATGGATGGGCCCATGGCTGGATTGGTAAAGGACAGAGAGCTCCAGTCCGACTCAGACGCCAGCAAGGTGGAGGTGGAGTACTGGTTTGGGCTGGTATCATCAAAGATGAGCTTGTGGGGCCTTTTCGGGTTGAGGATGGAGTCAAGCTCAACTCCCAGTCCTACTGCCAGTTCCTGGAAGACACCTTCTTCAAGCAGTGGTACAGGAAGAAGTCTGCATCCTTCAAGAAAAACATGATTTTCATGCAGGACAATGCTCCATCACACGCGTCCAAGTACTCCACAGCGTGGCTGGCAAGAAAGGGTATAAAAGAAGAAAATCTAATGACATGGCCTCCTTGTTCACCTGATCTGAACCCCATTGAGAACCTGTGGTCCATCATCAAATGTGAGATTTACAAGGAGGAAAAACAGTACACCTCTCTGAACAGTGTCTGGGAGGCTGTGGTTGCTGCTGCACGCACTGTTGATGGTGAACAGATCAAAACACTGACAGAATCCATGGATGGCAGGCTTTTGAGTGTCCTTGCAAAGAAAGGTGGCTATATTGGTCACTGATTTGTTTTTGTTTTGTTTTTGAATGTCAGAAATGTATATTTTTGAATGTTGAGATGTTATATTGGTTTCACTGGTAATAATAAATAATTGAAATGGGTATATATTTGTTTTTGTTAAGTTGCCTAATAATTATGCACAGTAATAGTCACCTGCACACACAGATATCCCCCTAACATAGCTAAAACTAAAAACAAACTAAAAACTACTTCCAAAAATATTCAGCTTTGATATTAATGAGTTTTTTGGGTTCATTGAGAACATGGTTGTTGTTCAATAATAAAATTAATCCTCAAAAATACAACTTGCCTAATAATTCTGCACTCCCTGTAGAGACTGCTACAACACCTATCACATGGCGTGCAAGGCAAGATTTAATTTCTGTCACATACACATTCTGCAGAAAAGCAAAGAATTACCCAAGCAGAAAATGCAACAAAAATATGTTTAACCATATTGCATCTCACCATATTTATTTTGCTTGCCATTTCCCTATCTCTACAACATTTTATGCTTAATATGCACAATTCAGATTTACTGAATTGAAATGACATTTTGCAGATTTTATTTGTAGCTTGTACTTTATAAGTGATCCCTGAATCCCTTTAAATAATAATATCGCATGATATATCTCAATTCTTTCTATTCACAAGCATCTTAATTCTGTCACTTATATACCGCACTCAATTTAAGTCACAATATATGCACAGTGCCTGTGCATTTTCCATTAAAGAAAGCCACATGGTTTGCTTGAATCTTGTGCTATAATTTCTGATTCTTAAACTGCCATGATTATTTTAAAATATTACTGCAGCAAGTGTAATTATCTTTCTACCCACTGAGCATGACTAGCAGAAATTATGCATAATATAAATAAGAGACAAGAGGTTTGTAAGGTGTAATTTGCTTTCTTGACTGTTAGTTGACAGCTGATTATCCAGCAGTACAGACCATGTTAAAGATGTGGAGAAAAATGTGCTTTAGTAAAACAAGCACTGAACAAAATAGCCACCTGGTGTTTACGAACATTAAATAAAACTATATTTATAGCACATGTGAAAGATGTTGGCTTGGATCTGCAGGTCAGTAATTTCCTGCTGTAAAAATGACATCACAAAACATGTGTCTTACATTTCATTGGTCCTTTACAAGAATCAACATCATGTATGGTAGAGAGAGAACCACAGAGTGTCATCATTTATCATACCTCCCAAGTGTTTGATTTTAGGAGGGACAATCCCTATTTTGGAGCCCCATATTGTTCATATAACAGAGGTCGACAGCTAAAATACTTAAGGTAATGCATCTTTAAACTACAATAAATATGCTAAGAAATAAGTCTGTGTAAATAAGGTACATTCAATGTTTTGTTTTTTTATTTGACAGTTTTTATTAAGGTTTTGGGGTACAGAAAGGAAAGAGGGGTTTCAGGGGGTGATTGTCAATCAAGTAATCGATGCATGGTTGGTCAAGAAAACATCACGTCAACATGGTAACATAAAAATAACATAAAGATAATGCAGATAATATAGAGATACACTCCCGATATCTGGTTAGTTCTTCTGGGTCTGTTTTGGGTGTATCTACCATCTGTTCCGTTCTATCAAGAAACTAAACATTTTCTCTTCTTCAACCAGTCGTGGTTGAGGTTTAACGTCCTTGGTTGACAATTGGGCATGGTACAAAAAAGAAAAGAGGATGGGGTAGGAAGGGGACGCATATAGCAATAGTCTCGTCAATGATTCTATCAATGCTTTGTTGGCTCGTGTGTTTCTGTTGGTACACTTCTTGGCTGCATATCTTAGTATCTTATGTTATCTTAAGGGAGGGGAGAGCTCCCCCCACTCCTGGTCTTCCCTCATTAGTAGCTTTAAATGTATAATTATTCCATATGGATTTGGCTTTGATGGTGTTGGGGTTAGAGGCTATGTAGGAGTGTGCCATTTGCTAGTAGTCCCAGTTAAGGGTTTTGTGCTCGAGACTTTACCTGTTTTCCAGGCTCTCGCAAGCAATGTGTTCACCACTATTAAGATCTGGAAAGTAAGTTTGGTCAGTGGTTTAGGTATATCTCTTGGTAATATGAACAAGATACAGTGGTCGGGGGTACAACACTGCTCTGTTTGGGTAACATTTGATACCTCCTTTATGACCATTTTCCAGAAGTCCTGGAGGCTCGGACAAGACCACCAGACATGTAACATTGTACCCACTCCCTCCCCGCATCTCCAACATTTATTGGATACATTTGTATATATGCGGGCAAGTCTATCAGGTATGTAGTACCATCTGTACATGTCAGGGTACCTGTTGGTGCTGAATCCAGGGAAGACATCCTCTCCGTTTAGGGGCTTCCTGCCCCTAGCATTTCGGCATATTCCGGCCGTTTTCGCGCCGGCCGCGCTAGCTCCTCCCCCTTTTATGACGCGACGGCTAGCGTCGACGTCATGACGTCGGCATTTACATAAAGTGCCGGGAACCGCTATTCCGGACCTTTTGGGGGCGTAGTCTCTATTTAGGTAACAGGGTATTTAAAGGAAACCTTTACTACTGCTCATTGCCCTGTCGTGGTTCTAGCTTGCTAGTCACTCAGCGCGTTCTTTATCTTGTGTTTCTGGTTTTGACCCTTGCTTGTCTTTTGTCCTGTTGTCCTCTCTTCTCCTTTGACTCGGCTTGTATCTCGCTTACCTGTCCTCCGGCTCCCTCGACCTCGGCTTACCTTTTGACTATTCTTGCTTTCTCCCTACGTTAGTCCGGCCATTCTAAGGTCCGGTATACGTACCTCCTTCTGTCCGCACTCTGCGTATTGGATCCCTGTCAGTATCCTGACATTACGACAGGGCCTAATGGATCCTGCAGGTGCTAGTCCTCCTGACCCCAGATTTGAGGCCATGGACCATAGAATGGACCAAATGGCTTTAGCATTACAAACTTTGTTAACACGCTCCAGTACCCAGTCTGAAGAAATACGTTCCACTGCTAGCCATTCGCTAAGTACTGGTTTGGAAGTAACCACTGTAGGCGCATCTTCCCATGTCACTTCACCGTTACGATATGGGGGTTCGCCTGATGCTTGTCGTGGTTTTTTAAACCAGATAAGCATACATTTCGAACTTCAACACCGGGCTTACTCCACTGACAGGGCTAAGGTAGGCTTTATTATAACCCTGCTAATAGATAAAGCACTTAGATGGGCCAATCCCCTTTGGGAGAATGACAATCCTTTAGTCTACAACTACACTGCTTTTGTCACGGCTTTTAGAAGAACCTTTGACCCCCCAGGAAGGAAGATTAATGCGGCCAAATCCCTGTTACGCCTTAAACAACAGAATAGGACCCTTGTAGAATATGCTCTAGAGTTTAGATCATTGGCAGCAGAAGTGAAATGGAACGAACAAGCTTTTATGGATGTATTCTTGAATGGGTTGTCTGATGAAATTCTAGATGAAATTGCCACTAGAGAACTTCCGGAAAATTTAGAGGATTTAGTATCCTTCATTTCCAGAATAGATGAACGCATGAGATAGAGGCAGAACACTCGGGAAAGAGTTACTAGACTTCCTGTAAGACTCGCTCCCTCATTTCAGAACCCTGACTCCTATAATCCTACTCCACCAGAACCTATGCAAATAGGTAATACTCGCTTATCTGAGGCTGAGAGACAGTACAGAAGAAGGGAGGGTCTCTGTTTATACTGCGGGCAGAGAGGTCACCTACGTCTTAGTTGCCCTAATCATCCGGGAAACGCTCGCACCTAAGTTCCCTTAGAGGACGGGCCTTGGGTGTTTCATTACTGTCCTCTATGCATAATAAAAAAGACCATAGGCTTCTGATTCCTGTCTCTCTAGCTTGGGAAAAGGGGTTTATTTCTACGATGGCATTATTAGATTCTGGAGCAGCAGAAAGCTTTATAGACCAAACTTTCATTAATAAGCATTGTATCCCATTCCAATTGAGAGATACACCCTTGGCCGTTGAGGCCATAGATGGTAGACCTTTATCTGAACCAGTAATATTCCATGAGACCTAACCCGTTAAGCTTACTGTTGGTATTTTCCACGAGGAGTTGATTTCCCTTCTGTTAATTTCCTCCCCGGCAGTCCCAGTGGTACTAGGATATTCTTGGCTCAAGAGACACAACCCTCAGATTGACTGGGAGGGTGGAGAAATCGTTTCTTGGGGTATGGGTTGTAGGAAAGAATGTCTGCAGAGAGTTACTTCTGTTTGCCCCGTAAACTCTTATGCTAACACTTCCCAATCCACAGACGTTCAGATACCTTTACAATATCTAGACCTCAAATCTGTATTTGACAAGGGTAAGGCGGATACTTTACCTCCCCACCGGTCTTATGACTGTTCTATTAAACTTTTCCCTGGTACTATGCCTCCCAGGGGTACGGTATACCCTCTATCCACCAAGGAAAACTTAGTTTTAGAGGAATACATCAAGGAGAATTTAGACAAAGGATTTATTAGAAAGTCTTCTCCGGCGGGGGCGGGTTTCTTTTTTGTAGAAAAGAAAGACGGTACCTTACGTCCTTGTATAGACTATCGAGGATTGAACAAAATTACTATCAGGAATGCTTACCCTATTCCTTTGATTACTGAACTCTTTGACAGACTAAAGGGCTCGAGTATTTTTACCAAACTTGACTTGAGAGGAGCATATAACTTGGTGCGAATTAAACAAGGAGATGAATGGATGACAGCATTTAATACCCGTTACGGGCATTATGAGTATACCGTAATGCCGTTTGGGCTTTGTAATGCCCCGGCCGTCTTCCAAGACTTGATCAATGAAGTTCTTAGAGAATTGCAACATGAATGTGTGATTGTATATTTGGATGATATACTAATACATTCTAGAGACATTAACTCACATCATAGACAAGTCAGAAAGGTATTGCAGAAACTTTTACAACATGGATTGTATTGTAAATTGGAAAAATGTAGCTTTGATCAGTCTCAGGTAACTTTCTTAGGTTACGTAATTTCCAAAGACGGGTTTATGATGGACCCGACCAAACTAAAATCGATTTTAGATTGGCCTTTACCTAAGGGACTCAAAGCCATGCAAAGATTTCTTGGATTTTCTAATTATTACAGACGTTTTATTAAAGGGTACTCCTCTGTTATCGCTCCTATCACTAATATGACCAAACAAGGAGCCGATACCAAAACCTGGTCTACTGAGTCTTTATCTGCTTTCGAAACGCTCAAACAGTCTTTTGCCTCAGCACCTGTATTAGTTCATCCTGATACCTCTCTACCCTTTTTACTTGAAGTTGATGCGTCTGAAACAGGGATAGGCGCAGTGTTGTCCCAAAGACAAAGTTTAGATAAGCCGCTGCACCCTTGCGGGTTTTTTTTCCAAGAAACTATCACACACTGAAAGGAGATATGACATTGGTGATAGAGAACTTTTAGCTATCATTATGGCATTAAAGGAATGGAGACATTTGTTAGAGGGCACTGTCCTCCCAGTTACTATCTTGACTGACCACAAAAATTTATCGTATATGGGGAGGCCAAAAGATTATCTGCCAGGCAGGCACGTTGGTCTATGTTCCTTACACACTTTAATTATATGCTTACTTACAGGCCTGGTTCTAAGAACACTAAGGCAGACGCTTTGTCACGTCAGCACGAACCTATCACCTCTACAGAGGACACGTTGTTCCCTATTATTCCTGAAGTCAATATTATCGCCAACACCAATGTTAAAATACACTCTCCATTGCTCGCTGATATTATGAACGAACAATCTCTTGCTCCCGAACGTACTCCTGTGGGCCGCTTGTTCGTGTCTCCCAAATTCCAAGTGGACATTATTCGCTGTTTTCACGATAGCAAGTTCGCTGGTCACCCCGGCATCCACAAAACTTACTGCCTGATCTCCAAGGACTTCTGGTGGCCCGGTTTACGTAGGGATGTGGAAGACTTTGTCAAGGCTTGCAATGTTTGTGTCAGGAATAAACTTCCGCTGGATCTCCCTTGTGGTTTATTGCAGCCCTTAGTCGTTCCCAACAAACCTTGGGCTTGTTTGGCTATGGATTTTATTGTTGATCTACCAGCTTCCAGTAGGCATACGGTTATCCTCACGGTCCTTGACAGGTTTACTAAAATGGCTCATTTCATTCCCTTGCCTAAACTTCCGTCCTCTCCTGAACTGGCCGTGATATTTGCTAGAGAAATTTTCTGTTTACATGGTATTCCCAATGAGATTGTGTCTGACAGGGGTTCCCAATTTATTTCCCGTTTTTGGAGATCCTTCTGTTCCCAGTTGGGCATCAAACTGAATTTTTCTTCGGCCTATCATCCTCAATCTAACGGAGCAGCCGAACGCACTAACCAAAAAATTGAGCAATATCTACGTTGTTTTGTTTCTGAACACCAGGATGACTGGGTCGGTCTGATTCCTTGGGCGGAGTTTGCTCACAACAACCTTGTTTGTGGTTCCACTCGTAATAGCCCCTTTTTCTTGAACTATGGCTTTAACCCTACTGTTCTTCCGTCGGTGTCTCCTTCCCAGGGTATACCGTCGGTTGATATTCATATAGCCAACCTGAGAAAGTTGTGGGATCAGACTCGACAAATTCTTGCACGTAGTTCCGCGGTGTTTAAGTCACATGCTGATAGGCGTAGGCGGCCTGCTCCTATTTTTTCTCCGGGTGATAGGGTCTGGTTGTGTACCAGACACATTCGCCTGAAAGTTCCTTCCTTGAAGTTTGCTCCTCGTTACATTGGTCCTTACAGGGTGCTGAGGAGGATCAACCCGGTTTCTTATTTGCTGGATCTACCTCCTACTCTACGCATCCCTAACTCTTTTCATGTGTCTTTATTAAAACCTCTTGTTTGTAACAGATTTTCCTCCAGCTCTGCTCCTCCATCCTCGGTCCGTGTGGATGGTCAGGAGGAATATATCATCAAGTCCATCCTTGATTCTCGTATTTCTAGGGGGAAGCTGCAATACCTCATAGACTGGAAAGGTTATGGTCCAGAAGAGAGGTCTTGGGTTCCTAGTATAGACGTGCATGCTCCTCGTCTTCTTCGGGCCTTCCACGTTCGTTTTCCTTCTAAGACCGGTCCCATCCGCCCGGTGGGCGTTTCTAGAAGGGGGGGTACTGTCAGGGTACCTGTTGGTGCTGAATCCAGGGAAGACATCCTCTCCGTTTAGGGGCTTCCTGCCCCTAGCATTTCAGCATATTCCGGCCGTTTTCGCGCCGGCCGCGCTAGCTCCTCCCCCTTTTATGACGCGACGGCTAGCATTTACATAAAGTGCCGGGAACCGCTATTCCGGACCTTTTGGGGGCGTGGTCTCTATTTAGGTAACAGGGTATTTAAAGGAAACCTTTACTACTGCTCATTGCCCTGTCGTGGTTCTAGCTTGCTAGTCACTCAGCGCGTTCTTTATCTTGTGTTTCCGGTTTTGACCCTTGCTTGTCTTTTGTCCTGTTGTCCTCTCCTCTCCTTTGACTCGGCTTGTATCTCGCTTACCTGTCCTCCGGCTCCCTCGACCTCGGCTTACCTTTTGACTATTCTTGCTTTGTCCATACGTTAGTCCGGCCATTCTAAGGTCCGGTATACGTACCTCCTTCTGTCCGCACTCTGCGTATTGGATCCCTGTCAGTATCCTGACAGTACATAAGTTTTCTCATCAACTCAAAGTGCGTTGTGCATGTTGTGTTACCTGTATGTGCCATATGTGCTTTATCCCATTGGTCGTCCGGCATTGTGTATCCCAGCTCCTTGTGCCACGCTTCCCTGTATGACCTGGTCTCTAGTTGGTGCGTATCTATCAACGCTGTGTAAGTGGTAGAGAGTACTTTTCTTTGGGGGGGTAAGGTCTATGCATAGCTTTTTGAATTGTGTCAACTGTGTGGATCCCGTGTCAGCTTTACAGTTTTCTAATATGTACGACTTTAGTTGGAGGTATGGGAACAGTAGTTTACTCGACAAGTTGAACCTGGTTTGCAGGTCCGATAAATGGATAATTTTGTTTCCATGGAGCAGCTGGTACAAGCGTGTGCATCCCCGCTCGACCCATGATTTATAGTCTAAGGTTGGTACTTGGATGCCCACGCTCTGTAGCGGTGTGGCTAGGGATTTTGGTCCGACCATGCACAGCGAGCCCCTCGCCGCGTCCCATACCTGAAAGGTGAGACATGTCGTGGAGAGGGTTGTGGCAGCCCAGTGTCTCTGTGCCCTTGGGACCCAGACAGAATGTTCAAGGCTCCTCTGTCCCGCCCAGTTTGCTTCTATGTCTGTCCATTGTGGTCTGGGTTTGCATTGGTACTATTGCGGCTATTATCACCGCTTTGTAATAGGACTTTACGTCCGGGAGACCCAATCCTCCCTTTTGCTTGGGTTTGATTAGTATCGTGTTGGCCACTATGGGTTTGCTCTTGTTTCAAACGAATCGGACCAGAGTTCTCTGTAGCTTAGGGAGGTACGTGTTCAGGAGGGGTATGGGTAGTGTTCACAAAAGGTAATGGAACTTCGGGATCAATATCATTTTCATATGCTGCTATCCTTCCCACCCATGATAAGAAGCAGCCCTCCCATTTCTGCATAGTGGAGGTAAAACTCTGTATAAGTGGTTCATAGTTGTATTTATACAGCGAGGTCAGCTTTTTAGTTAATGTTATGCCTAGGAAGGTTAGGTAGTCTTCCCTCCAGTCAAACGGGTATGTTTTCTGCATCCTCTCTAACTGTGTCGAGTCCCGCCCCAGGTACATGGCTTGGGTCTTGGTTACGTTCAACTTGTAATATGAATATCTCCCATATGTGGTGATCAGTGTTAGCAAGTTAGGTAGTGATGTGTATGGGTCCGTCAGGGTAAGGAGTATGTCATCCGCGAATAGGTTGGCTTTGTATTGTTTGTGCCCTATCGTCACTCCGTGTATTCGGTCATGTTGTCTAATTTGAAGCGCCAGCTGCTCTAGCGCCATGACACAGAGCAACGGAGATAGTGGGAACCCCTGTCTAGATCTGTTCGTAATGGGGAAAGGGTCTGATAAGAAGCCAGCATTTAACACCTTTGTTGAGGGTTCAGAGTACAGGGCCCTGACTGCCGACCCGAATCTCCCCGGGTTGTTAAATTTGTTCAGGACTCCTTTCATGAAGCCCCAGTGCAAGCGGTCAAAGGCTTTTTCTGCGTTGAGGGACATTATTAAGCCTTCCTTCTGTGTGCCTTGCAGTCCACAAATTATGTCTAAGACCTTTCTAGTGTTGTCGCTGCCTTGGCGTCCCTTGACAAATCCCACTTGGTCCGAGTCGATTATGGTTGGTAAGACTATGCTCAGCCTAGCCACTAGCACTTTAGCAAACAGTTTGATGTCTGTGTTAAGCAGGGATATAGGGCGAAGGTTTTGGGTCTGGGTAGGTGGCTTGCTGGGTTAGGGGAGTGTCACTATATGTGCTAGCTGGCATTCTCCTGGAAATGTACCTCGGTCAATGGCTTCGTTAAAGGTTGCTGTCAAATTTGGGGTTAGGGTGTTTCTGAAGCATTTGTAGTAGCAATTAGTGAATCCGTCTGGGCCTGGGGCTTTATTGTTGGGCAGTGCAAGTATTGCTTTGTTAACTTCAGATTCTAAGATTGGAGAGGAAAGTAATTGAGTTCATGTATGTTATATTCCGTCTTCTCTAGGGCCTGTTGGTTAATTTGCCTAGTTATATTTTGAATGGTGGCCTGCAGGGTGGTGGATGGGGTCGCTTGGTTCTGCCTGGTTAAGTCCTGGAGGTCTTTTTGCAAGACCATTAATTGTGTTTGTGATCTTTTACGAATGTATGAGGCCTTCCTTATCAGTAAGCCATGGATGACTGCTTTGTGTGTTTGCCAGATGTTCATCTGGGTGTTCTCGTCAGGACTATTCTCCAAGAAGAACAGTCTCATCTGTGTGTCTATGTCTTTTGTGAATAAGGTGTCTTTCAGGATAAACTAATTTAATCTCCATGGGCTGCGGTGGGTAGGATCATAGGCATCCTTAAGTGTTAGAGTCACCGGGGCGTGATCGGACCAGGATATCCCCCCAATTTCACATTGAGTCATTTGGTCTAATGCCTGACCCTTAGAAGGAAGCCATCTATATGCGAGTATGAATTATGCACTGAGGAGTGGAACGTAAAGGCTTTTTCGCTAGTCTGTAGTAGTCTCCACGCGTCATATAGATGGTATGCGTGGAGCAATTTATGTATTGCCTTGCATTGCCTTTTTAAGGGTCTACGTCTGGGACTGTGTGCAGGGAGAGTAGTATCCATAGATGGGTCTAAGACATGATTGAAGTCTCCACATATTACCGTAATGCCCTGTTGTTTTTCTACTATTGTGGTGAGGATTTTGTGAAGGAAGTTTCCTTGCTCAGAGTTGGGTGCATAAATGTTGACAATAGTGTACAGTATTCCGTTAAATGTGCCTATGACCATTGCATATCTGCTCTTCCTATCTAGTGCGTGTGATTGGGGTGTGAACGCCACATGTCTGATAATCAAAATAGACGTTACTTTTGCCTTCGTTGGGGAGGTAGCATGAAATTGGTGGGGGTATTCCCTACTCAGGAGTTTTGGGTGGGTATTCTTCTTGAAATGGGTCTCCTGTAAGCATACAACATCCGCTCTGTGAACCAAGTTCTCTGCCCAGGTGGTGTCTTTTTACCGGGTGTTTAGTCCCCTTACGTTGTGTGTATATATATCTTCATTGGGGTCTAAACCCCGTTGTGAATATCAGAGATAAGTTTAGCAAATGAGTTCTATTAGAGTTGCAACAAGCAATGCAGCCCGCCTCTCGGTGTTACTTTTTTTTTGTTGTTTTTTTAATTATATTTTACCTTATAAATAATTATGAATATCCCGAGTGATGCCCCCCACACACCCATAATGTTGGTGTCCCTCTTTGAAATGTTGGGATTTATGCTTTATGGAGTCCTCAGATATCAGAATTGTCTGTTCGTACTTTGATAATCTCTTGAAAGCAGGCAAAGCATAACACTTTAGTTCTATGAGCTTTAAAAATAATTTGTATTGTCAATTTTAATCAGGATGAGCATGTCTAATAGGTGGTTGAAAACACTGTTCAATGTCCA